AGTTTGGCTTTAGAGCCAAACATTCTTGTACCCATCAAGTGCACCGCATCACGGAGCACATACTAGTCAAACGCCAACGCGGATTCAACACCGGAGCACTCTTCTTAGACGTGGCAAAGGCCTTCGATAAAGTCTGGCACAACGGGCTCGTATACAAGTTATACGGGTTCGGAGTACCCGATCGTCTCGTATGCATAATACGAGACTTCCTAACTAATCGGACCTTTCGTTATCGCGTCGAAGGCGTGTGTTCGACAACGCATCCCGTTCGAGCCGGGTTGCCACAAGGATCGGTGTTGGGCCAGTCCTTTTTACGCTCTACACCAATGACATCCGTCAAAATGTTACTTGCCCATGCCGAAGACGCCTCCAAGCTGCAGCCATCATCGACGCCTCCATCGCCATGACTGGTTTCGGCAATGGAGGATCGAAATCAATCCCGCCAAGAGCGTGGCCGTCCTTTTTTCGCATAAAAACGTAGATAAACCACCCCCCGTTAAACTCATGGATAGTCCGGTACCATGGGTGAACAAAGTTAAATATTTAGGTGTCGTCCTTGACTCCCAACTTAGATTCAACCAGCACGTGACTCGGGTCAAGAACCGGGCGGCCTTCGTACTCGGTCGCCTCCATCCGCTCCTCAACAAAATGTCTAAAATGTCCCTTCGGAAGGTGACTCTATATAAGGCAGTAGTTCGCCCTATCATGACGTACGCGAGTCCAGTTTTCGCACACATTGCTCCGAAGCAAATACACCGGCTTCAGGTCATCCAAAATCGATTCTTGCGCAGAGCTACGGGAGCACCCTGGTTCATGCGCAATATCGACCTTCATGTCGATTTAGAGTTGCCCACCATCGCTCAATTCCTGAAGTCGGCGTCGCGCCGATACTTCGATTCCGCCGCCGCGCATCCCAACCCGCTAATCGTAGGTGCCGCCACCTACAGACCCCTGCCGCTAGGTACGTTCCGCCGCAATCACCGTAGACCGCGACACGTTCTCGATTTCCCTGACGATGAACGACTATCGCCATCGAAAGGATTAAAAAACTTCGCAAACACACCAACACAAACCGCACTCGCCGGCGAGTGTGGCAAACATACACTAGGTTCCGCCACGTACCTGGCAGGTCCTCCCCAGTTCAAGATAGAAGCGTTGCTGGAGTTTCTTCCGCCACTTCTTCTCCAAGCGCCAACGCTTTACGAAGTGGTAGTACGATAGCTCTAGAGATCCCCCCAGTCAGATAACAGCTACCGATCGAGCCGAGGTCCGGCCCTCTCGGGCACCCTCGAATCGGAATGCTAAACGCGTGTTGAGTGACAGCCCAAGCCGAGGTCCCCTCTCGGGGACCCTTGAGCCTGATCACTCCATGGAGCCCCCGCCAAAGCGCCCTAAGAGCTAGGCGGCCTCCCAAACCGGTGAATTAAATAGCGTGACGGCCCGAGCCGAGGTTCCTTCGGGAGCCCTCGAGCTTAGTCACCATAACGCGTAATAATAAATACGCGAGGTTCAGGCTAGGCGCCTCGAGCGACCGGCCACCTCAAGTCCGTCGGATCTGTAAAGGCCCCTAAGGCCAACAGTGGCTCATCCAGACAAAAAAAAAAAAAAAAAAAAAAAAAGGGAATTGAATGTATACTTCCAGAACCATACCGAGAGATCACTCAACTTAGAACTGATATTGAATCTAACCATTTTAAATACGATTCCAACAATAATCTACAAAATGAAAACTTTTATCGTGATACGTTTCAGTAAATTCCAATCGCAATTCTAATTAGCTAGTAGTGTCATACAAATTAAAAATAATGCGTGTAAAAATAAAAATAATAACTAATATAATAAAATGATAAATAATAAAAATAGTCTTATTTCATAAGGTGTGATCGCGTAAATAAAATAAATTTATAACACAACGTCAGTTAACTTTATATTGCTGTTTTTTGCGACATGGTTTATAACTTTTTTACAATTTACTTTATGGTGCTAAACTATAAATATTTATTACTTTTGTAGCCTAATGGTAACTGTCATAAAACTGTAGCGAATAATGAAGATTAGTTGAAGATAAATAAAACGTTGTTATATATGTACACTGCCAGGACTAAGCTTAAACACATCGAAAGCTGACCAAGCGGAGTGGCAGTATGTCACGAGCAACGGTAGCGAGGATATCGCGTTACTTCATGATTTATGTGTAACAAGGGTGTCAGGGCAAAATGTGCCGCCGTAAATTAATCGGTGGCGGGAGAATAATTTCACTTTACAGACGTTTAAATGATTAATACTCCGCTACCGACTTTTCTAGTCACAAATTACTTACTAAGTGGATGTCGTATAACTATCGCTGTAAATGATAGCTTGCTCTGATTATTCCGGCATTCTTAAATGGTTTTATACGCTAAGAACACTCGTTCTATTAAACTTAATCATTCTAGCAATTAATTGTTTGTAAAATTACCTTCCCGGTTAAGTATTAATATCTTCCCGTGATAACGAATGCATAATGACGCCATCCAACAGATTAGAGCTTAGGTCGTTTAATTCACTCCTAAAAGCAACTTTGCAAGAAGCTGAAATACTACCAACGTTTTATGACATGAACCGGCCATAGCTTATGAAAAACAGAACATCAATTAAGTGCGTGAAACAAATAAATAACCTAAAAGTGTCGGGCAAATTCCAAAAGGTGAGCACTCTGGCATTTGAAGTCAAACTCAACATCAACGAAAGTATGAATATCAGCACGTCTTCGCCGAGCAAAGCAGCGCACGGTGGGTCGAAAGTGCTATATGAAGGACATAGGATTTTTTTTATAAATTCTATTTAAAAAAAACACCTATCGAAATATCTCGCCATTCTCATGAATAATTGTTATTAAAAGTTTTCTTTAAAACTGATAGTGTGCCATACACAAATACATATTTTCTGTTTTTGTTGTATGGAATGAAGCGGATACTGCTAAAATTTGGCCAAGTCTTGACAGGTCTTCATCGTGCGGCGAACTGAAGGCCGTTGCGAAACTGATTTATACAAACTGCGCCTCCATATGTAACAGGAGCGTGAAATCTAGCGATGCTGGGACGTCGATAGTACCGGTACAGTCGTTAATGGCATAAGTTTACTTCTCAAAAAAATGCTTCGCCAATAAAAAAAACTCCCGAATTAGATTCAGAATAAGCATCTATGGAAAAGATATTTTGTCACACAGCCCGCAATGGAAATTCACGAGTTGGCCTCCTAAACCATTACACAATCCGTCAGTGCCCAAAGAATTAATCTTTACTACCTATAGGTTAATAGCTAATTGTAATGTTTCTCTCGTACAACTTCTTTCATCCCCAAATAGGTATAGGGCACTTTATTATACTTCAAAATGATTAAAACTTTATATCCTATGTATAATATAACTAATAATAATAACTAAATTAATTACCCAAGACCCAAAATGTCTTCTTCTTCTTTAGGATTAAACGCTGCATAAATTATCCTATACAGAGATATTTTTCGTACGTTTTGTCGTCTATAATTATTTTGTACTAGCTGTGGTAGTTTTTTGACATTCAATAAGCCTATATTGAATAAAGAAATTTTGACTTTTAAAAAATTGTTATAAACACTGTTTTTCTTAAAAGCATGCTAGGTAATGTTAGTAAATTGTAAAAGGACCAACATAAACGTCGCATACATAACAAATTTGATCATTGAAACCAATTTGTATATCACAGTCTTTGGGTGAGGCTCAGCAGTGGACTCTAACAGGCTGAAATGATGATGATATTGAATCTAATCCATAAAACGCTGCCCAGCACTTTTCGACGCGATTGCAACTTTGCAGCTGATGGAATTAAGAAGATTGATGATATCCATCGGCCGATGTGTCGTTGCAATTAGCACATTATACATTCGAATTCGCGCGTCACGACTGTGCCTGACTCGTAAACTTGATATTACTGTAGCCATATTTGTTACGATCAGTGTTTGTTTAAATTACTGACATTTGATATAAATGGAACTATGATGAATTTGCGTTGCTTGCTCAATTGCCATTTAATCACACAGTAGGGGTTAAATAAAGCCCTTGAATAAAAAATCGACTTATCGGTGTCATTTACCTTACCTAGATTAACAATTGCCAAAGTAAGTATTAAAGTGAACTGCCAATTCACTTTTAACAAATAATTTATTAGAATGGTCGGCGGGAAGTGGAAGAAGTATATTACTTCTTAGATTTTGCACAGTATTGTCATCAAAAAAGCTCATTATTTTCGTCTTAGACAATCTCCCCCCGTGTTCAAAAATCATTCTTTTGATCAAGAAATAACAAGCACTGGTTCTCTTCCCATCTGATGGTTACAGTTGCAGTTAAAAGTAAAGTAAAGTAACGGCCTACATGTTCGACTGCTGGGCAAGGCCTCCTCTGTTCACCATGCAACACCACTACGGATGGGAACAATTTACATATCTTCGAAGTAATTCTTTTTCAATTACTTCGAAAATCTGCAGGCAAATGTTTTCCTTCGCCACTGAGCGCATGATCTGCATTTAAAATTGCAATTGACAACTTAAACCTTACTTTAACTTAACCGGTGCCGACACGAATGAAGCCTTTGGATTAAATTGAATTAAAAGCAGTCGCAGCTGTTAGAACTATTTCTCTTCAATAGACTATTCCTACGGGTAAAACAAACAAACAAACACATGATATTTCGTATTTGTAATGGCGAGGCGACGTTAACCACTTGAGCTTTCACGACCCGAGTCACGCGTACCCCGCATTTGAATGGCGCGCACGTCTCTAGGAAGCGTTCGCTATAATTCGAGATTCACGTCAACATCCGTGCAGGTTCGGTACATACAACAATACACACAAATAAACGCACTAACAAACAATACAGCCACGGCACCCCGAGCGATACACGACTCAAATCGCAAGCTCGCCTATTGTCGAACGCGATGACCAACGTAAATTCAACACTTAACCAAATCGAAGCCATCGTATAATGAGCCCTATCGCCCTGCAAGCACTACGGAATTGCGTCGTGAGTGGATTAGGTTGGTGGTGAGTTCATGTCGGTTTTAGCGAGGTAATTGCTATAATGACTGGTGTGTAAGTGGCCGTCATATTGTTATGATTTCGTTCGTGAAATCGAAAACGATCGAAGCTCGTTCGGCGCGCGTGTCCATCGCGCAAAGTGATTGGTCTCGGCTTCATTTCGCTGCGATGGTTTTTCGTTTTATTGCGTCTCGCTCCGTACTCGTTGACGTCAAAAGATCAGCACGATAGTAGATGGAATCGGATCGAAATGAAACCGATTCGTCACTTATTCGGTGAGCATCCGCACCGTGTTTTATTTATAGAAAACTAGCGGACCCGACAGACGTTGCCCTGTACACACGACTTAAATCCGACAACAACTTATAAAAAAAAATTTGTTGACCATTCCGTTTTTGACCATTCTCAAATCAACAATTCATTAAAATCGGTCCAGCCGTTTAGGAGTTCAATGACATACACACGTACAGAAGAATTATATATATAACAGATAACGCGAACGATGAGCCGCGACAACTCGAACTTGCATATTTTCGAAATTATAATATAACATTTCGAAGATATGTGAAGATAAGTCTGCCAATCCGCAGTGGAGTTGTGTGGTAGACAGCACAGTACAGAGGCATTTGCTCAGAAGTGGGTCATATACAGCGGGGCCATATAAACTTCCATTGTTAGTTTCCAATCTATCCGACGAAAGCTGTTGTATGATTAAGAAGTACCAATGTGCTCTCGATTTTAATACAATTCAATTGATTTTTATCAAATTAGGAAAAAACTTTCATGTACCGAAATAATTATGCACTCTTAAAATAGAAAGGGAGAAGTCCCTTAAATCACTATACTTACATCATCACCTTTTTATTAGAGAATGAGACCTTAAAATAACCATACAAAACACACATTGAGTTGTACTTAAGTTAACGTTTAAGGCCAATACAACCAGTATTGGCCTTAAACGTTAACTTAAATGCTATAATATTTAAGATGTAGCAGCGCCACGAAGTAGGCTCGTCCACGAAAGTACTTCGGCCTCACAGAAGTTACGTTTATACTTCTACTTTTCGCCTAGTTAAAACCGTGCCCACTTATTAGAGGTTGTTAACCAATCTGCAACCCAACGGGTGTTGTAACTATGGGCAGTGGCAGTCGTGTAATACCAGGTGAACAAGTTATTCACCTGCCAATTTATCACATAAAAAGTAACATAAATCCATGTAATTTACGTTTCTCTTAGTCTTTAACAGCGACGCTTTGGTGATGATAATTAAAGGGAGAAACAGAAGAAGAAAAGATATTTCCCGACCTTCAAAAAGAGAGCCTACTTCTACCTCAAAGGCCGGCAAAGCAATTGTACGACTCCTCCCACCGGCGGCGGTGATTGCTTACCATCAGGTGACCCAGTGCTGGCACCGTCAACTCAACCATGTGCAAATACATCAACCACAAACCTCACTTCACACCTTAAAACCGCCGACCAACTTTAACACTTCCCTTAGAAGCGTTAACTGCACTAGATCTTTCGCAATAGCGACCGATTAATTTTTCATAGGCACATATCAAACGGGGCATTAACTTTCGCGCCATTCGCCACGGCGAGGTGTTTAAGGCTGGCGTTTGCACCGAGCCCCATTCATCACGGGCTACCTCAAGACGTGAGTCCTTTCATCTTAGCACCGGAGTCGTGCGCCGCAAAGAGATACAATTTATTATAGACGCTATCAAACGGACCGTTGATAATTCGACGCCCGTACGTATTACGCTACGTACGGCGGGCGACGTAAGTGCTGTCGCGGGTGTGCGGCCCGTGTTCGACACAGCGGCGGATACGCCGGCCCTCGGTGTCGGCGAGTGAAAACATGCCGCCCGCCGTACGTGCTATCGCAACAAACGTGTGCTATTCATTAGCCCGTTAAAATGATCTCGGTTTCAAAATAAGTCAATCGACACGAGTGCCGACGCTTTATTGCCAACTAAACGGCTTTGATTTAGATTCACTCGCATATCGACTTTCGTCTGTCGCGTGGATGTTTATTTGTGGCGCTAACCACAAATCAGCGGGCTCGTTTCGCGGCATGTAAACATGTTGACGCGTTTAATTCGACCAGTCTGTAAAAGGGTAGAATTCACGTTGAATTAAAACGCTCTACGTGATAAAGTAAAGATACCTAGAAAAAGTAAAGATAAAGTACCAAGCATGTAATTTTTGAGAGTCGTTCCTTTATTTTCTTGAATCATATCAAAAATTTCAACAGATCAAGAAAGTTTCCGTGGATTCTTACAAAAATTATTTTGCGTTCCTAATTACGTGTTTGTTATAATGAGTAACGTACTAATTACACTTATTAAATGTAATTTCTAAACACCCATACCTTTAATTCTTTTATTGCGTTAATTAATAAAGACATTTCTATAGCTTTATTTATTCTTAATTAAAACTTTGAAAAATAATTTAAATCAAAATATAACTGCAAATAAATCTCGCCAACCAACTTTGCGATTGTACCTATTCAATTGAACATTCGCTTTCAATGATCAATCAATTCACTACACGGAAGTATTAGGGGGGCGATTAAAGCGATTCTTCAACATATTGTGAGCACAATTAAACGAGTTTCGTATCAGAGCGTCTTTCTATTAAACACGCGATGAGGCAGGCCCGTCGGTACGGGAGAAAATCTAGTGTGACATCAATAAATTTAAACTCTTACTCTCCCATTTGTGTTTAGTTACGGCTAATTTCGACCCGGCATAAATCGGCACGCTTTTTTCTCTAATGACGCCTCGGATTTATTGCGTTTATTCAACTAAATTAGATGAGCGGGAGCCGGTAGTTCGAGGCGCGTTTTCACTGCGACGCTCTCGCTAACTTTAAACGTTTTCTTAACTAACGCCTGTTTTTATATAATGTAGCTTAATTCATGTCTCAATCCTTCTGTAGTCTACTTCGCATATTAATTAATAAAACCAACAATCGCAGTGGTTAAAAGTTGAGATTGCCTTAGAACGTATATCCAGAAGATTCCAAATCTTTGATTTTTACACAAACGAATGTAATAAGTTGTGTATACTAAAATACGTCATATTTTTTATTATCTTCATATATTTATAAAACTACTTCATAAGTTTATATTATTGCAATCGGTTGGAGCTAGACACTAAATTGCTTCAGAATGATGTAAAGTATTCGAAACGATAGTAATTTAAGATAAAATTGAACGCGATAATCTAAGTGAAATATTTTCGATTGAACAATGTGTAGGCATCTCGTAAGTACGAGAAACTATCGTTACGATAACACTTCAATTAACAGCAGCGACGCATACAAAACGCGGAAATTGTCACAGTTACACCGGTTCGGTTTTGAAACGACTGCCCGCTTTGCGAAATCCGCACCGGCGCGAGTTGCGGAACATCTGTGCTTCCTATCGGGCTATCGCATACCTCAGCAGTGCGCTCCGCTGGGGCTTTGCGTAATGCCGAACGGTCCGGTCGACTTCCATTAATCGATGTTTGTGCTAATGCGTTACATTGGGCACGCATCGCCGAACTGTGAGCGGCTTTCTCCAGGGATTAGACAACCGGTTGGTGGTCTACCTGGAAAGCTGAAACCCCATCGCTTGCCGAACGGCCCGGCTCCGCTTCTTTTCGGGGCACCTGCGCGTTGCGACATCAGACGCATCGGTTACAGACTGGGTGACATTCGGTCTCGGCAACAAACTGGTCTGGTATCGGACTATCAGCCAGCCGTATAGCCATCGGAGAAACGCTGTTATTGATTACAGACCTCGTTACACGCGCTATTGTGTATGGGTCTGGTATTCGATTTTTCTCTATGTAAGAAGATAACAAGTGGCACTACAAATACGTTGACATTTTTTTTAAATATGGGCCCCGGCCACCTCATTAACCGATCGACACGCAGAAGTATAACCCTTCCACTTCACGCTGGTCTTCTGTGAGGTCGTGGTACTTTCCGTTTGGATGCCCGTTCATGTAACAGCGAAGACTATTGCATGGCCCTACCACAAAAATTGTATACCATCACGAAATCTGCAATGAACAATGTGAAAAATCATCGTGATATGATTATAACGCAGTAAAGGAAGAAATCAACAATGCAATGGATCTGTGGTATTTTGATCAAGAATTAATATTGTCCTTCAGACAAAGTTGGATTAAAATTTAAATCAATTAGATAGCAATTAGCAATTCGATATCCAGGCATAAGACTTCGTTAACACCAGACAGACGAAATTCACGAAAAGATCTAAATCAAGACGTAACATAATCTGTTTATCTTTACTTTTGATCGGCGCGTTTTATATTCAACTGGTGTGTGAGACCGTTCATTATGCATACTGCCAATGCTAATCATCGTTATTTATCGCCTATTAAAATAGTGCCGGTTGATTTAGAACATGACACTAAATATTATTTATGTTTACAACATACAATCGCAACCATTAATAATGTTGTGTAAACTTTTAAAATGTTTCAAACGTCATCATAGATTTAAAAAAAACCTGTATTGTAATTCCATCACTCCGCTATCTAGGCTACAAATAATCTATTACATATGAAGGCACGAATAAAAGCAAAAGCCGAATCATTCCAAATTCAAATTGTCCATTAACGGATGACATTTTGCGGCATTCGATCGAAAACCCTCGGTGCACATAGACTATAAATCGGTGTTTAGAGCGCATTACGGCCGTAACGTGTGTCCGTCGGCTCTGTCCCGATGCGAGATGGATAAGCGTGCGGCGAGGCTAATAGGAGACCCAAGGACCACCAATAACGACGTACCGCCGTGTCGTACTCGATATTGCGACGTTGCCGATGAAAATTTATATACGTAATATATAAATGTAATATTTTCAGTGCGGGGAACGCAATACATCTATATTTCTTTACAATAGGGACTAGTTCTTCGAGTCCATTACGCTGATCATTATTATTACCTTGTTGTTAACTACAGAAGTCATAGGACTTACCTTGAGATTTCAATTAGACTTTAATTAGACACTTTTTTTTTTTCATTTAATTCAATGTTCAAATGAACAAGGCTAATTGACCTATGAAATACTTTAAGTCCAATTGCACAAGACTATGTCTTAAGGAACATTACAAGCATTAAACAGATGAAATACTTTGTTATGAAAAAAGTACACATATTTTCATACGTCTATGTATTTGTCGCATTAATTCTAATATTCAACACACGTTACATCGTCTGCAGGATCTAATTGTACAGTCCAACGGTATCGAAAATAAGTTATTGCCCTAATTAGGACTGTCGAACTCACAATCCGCTCGGGACTCTAATTTACGGCACTGGGGGACCATTTAATTTAGTCTATCGTGGGGCCGTGCGGACTATTTAAATTGAGACGTCTAGATCGGGCGATAGGGGGTCGGGAGCGGGTTTCCGATGCTATCGGGCCCGGGACCCTCGTTTGTACCGTCTCCTACGGCGGGCCTCCATTTGCGGCGTGTAACGGACATCTTAGCCACTCTGGCACTACGATTGGATTCGATGAACGGATGATCGTCACAAACATCAAACTACTGCGATTGTTTTAACGATTCCATATGTTTCGTGACGTACATGTCGGTGACGAAAATCATAGTATGGGCAAGACTTGCACAGTAAAATTGTGACGATAATCATAGTACGGATATTACTCGCACAATACGTTGACGATAAAAATCATAGTGCAGATTTTACTTGGACAATATATTGACGACGAAAGTTATATTACGAATTTTACTGCATACTATGTGGACCATGAAAAGATTGTAACAGATAACTAGTTATTGCGTTGTTTAAATAGTTAAATAATTTCTTATGTTCACGCAGTAGTAATTTTCTACTTTAAGCATAAACTGTTTTAACGATAATTGAATTGTTTTAGCATGCTTCCTAGTTATGATTCGTTATATTTACGCGAGTACTATATTGTTTTAAATCGTCTCTGCTTATGAATCAGCTTAAATCAGCTAAATAAATAATTAATCATATAATCCTGGATTAACTAGGAAGTAAAATAACTCAGTCTCCTCGTTACCATGGATGCTACAAGGTTTAATAAACGTCGGGAACTATAATACAAAATTACGCGTTGTAAAAGTTATAATTTTAGTACCGTACCCAAAGGGTAAAACGGAACCCAATTTTCCTCTGTCCGTCTGTCTGTCCGTCTGTCACCAGGCTGTATCTTATGAACCGTTATAGTAAGATAGTTGAAATTTTCAGAGATGATGTATTGCTATTGCTGCTCTAACAACAAATTCTAAAGAACAAAATAAAAAATAATTCAGTGGGGCTCCCATACAACAGACGTGATTTTTTTGCCGTTTTTATAGATAATGGTACGGAACCCTTCGTGCACGTGTCTGAGTCGCACTTAACCCTTATTTTAAATTTTATTTCATATTTAATTTTATTATCTCCTTTTGACTATTTGTATCGGACAATACAAAGTAGGTGAGATCGGTACAACAATTGAATCATGTTGATAGTGATATTGGCTAGACTTGAGTACGAACCACTCAAGTACTTGTTCTACGTAGGAACTGAACCCATGACCTGTAGCTCTGATACCTAAAGCTTTTATAAGCCTTAGCGATTAAGCCATGGAAATCGAACCCACGACTGCGTCAAATTAGCTGTGTAATATCGCCTTTGTAATACAAGATGATATTAATCTACAGCAAGTGATATAATAATCTAGTTTCTTACGCCGGCAGGTCAGTGCTTACCTTCCAATAGTTTTTTTATTAAGTAATATGCTTCTAATTGAAAGAATCTATATGTAAATGTATAAAATGTAAAAATGTTAATGCATACACGTTCGGGCGTAATGCGTTTTAATCCACGTAAATGGCAGCAATCTTCTTAAGCGCTATGCAACTGCTCACGTACTCGAGTCCTTTGAGATCGATTCAATGTAACTCTTTCGATATTACGCAATTACAATGCGAATAACGCTGCCCCAGCTCCCTCAAAGAAGTCAGTCCGATATTTTAGGATTATGAAATATTTATGGTTTTCACAACACGATGACAACTTTTTAAGCATTATCTTCTTCAAGATTATATATGAAATCGGGAAGATGTGGCATTGATTGACATTGTTATCTTAAAATTCAAGTTTTACAAACTTAGTTAATTAATCAACTGCAAAATCTTTTCAAATATTATGTACATCTTAATAAGATACATATGTATCAATAGTACACGCAATACATATTATCGATTACAAAATAAGTATCGATTTATGTATATATTTTATAACCAACACCATAAAGCACCTTCGTTCTACATTGGTGTTATTAAAGTTAGTGATAACACGGTTGCATTATCGATATAAGTATCAGTGCTAAGAACGGCACTAATTAATCGATACTATCTATAGGTGTATCGACGCACTAATCGCTGGTATAAACTGCAATCGATCCCGACGGGAGGAAACGCTTAATTCACGATCTCGAGTGGTAGGAATTGCGGTATTTCACGCTACTCCCCTTCCAATCAGCCGCCGGGGAATTACCGGTGCGGTCGAACGGAAACGGTGAGGGCGCGTGCCGCATAATGGCCGCCAATCGCCGGCAGATGGGGGAGATGGCCGCCAATCTAGCAGACCGCGGGCCGACGTCTGGGTAATGACTGCCGCAATCATCAGACCAGTTTGCGACCTTCCAATCGCTCGGAATGTCAACCTGACGTCGCGGCCGGCAAAAGCGCCGCTGCGCTCGACGCCATTGTCGTAGCTCTTATCACCGAACAGCAGAGTGCAGTTTCCCTTAGCCCGTTATAAAGCTGGCTGCGCTGCTTGTCTAGGTAATAGCCACAGACTTCGCGAAGCGCTTCCTCGTGTAACAGTTTAAATGCGGTATACAGTTTCACCGGAGACGCTTACGGTGCCGTTTTCCCGGTTAAAGATGCATTTTTCCGTTTACCGAGAGCGCACAAAGTAGACGAGAGTCGCCGCTCTTTCTTTAATGTCATTGTTCCCATGGTCTAGACTCGAAAATTCTTTATTGCGCCGGACATAAAAATTCATATTTTTTTACAACTACATCAATTAGAGGTTCACGATCTTTACTGTATAGTTTTATCTAAGCGCTTAAATTTAATACTGATACGTCATTTCTCTACCGAAGGCGTACGAAATTGTGGTCAGTAAGAAAACAGCTGTCCCCAAACAGAACAGCCAACAAAGGGTCATATGAACTCATGCACTATACTTTTAATGACATTACTCTAAGCTCAATTACAAACACAAGTGCCAGCTTAACGAACACTGCACAATCAGACAGCGAGTTTTCTTCTTATAGCGAATTTCTTCATAAGAACAACGAAAATGTCATTGGTGCAACTCTTTGGAGTTTTATCATTATCTCAATTGCTTACCCGCAATTGTTAAAAAATTTCGTCACAAAGCGTGCATGACGTATTCCTTGACAGTATACATCTAATTTTTTCGTTTCTGCGAATTTCTAAAGTGCTTCAGTTAGTTTTTTCCCATCGTCCCATCCTCGACAATGACCCGCGACCGTCTGGACGCTGAAACGGTGCTTCATTCGCAGTATGAGTTTAGTTTTACGAGGAAATAATTTAGACAAAGAATGCCGCGAACATATTACTGTCTCTTATTAAGCACCGAAATTACAAAGAGTCCGTGCGTTGAATTGGTTGCATTCACAAATTTACGTGTGAATTCTTGACGAATTGGCTAATTTTGTGAATCGCGATTCGGATATTTTTACATGAAATTGAAGCGTGTAAATTCTGATAAATAGATTTTTTTTTATTTCCAAAACTGTTTATGTGACAGGTAATAAGGTAAAAGAAGAATTTGATGTGAAGGTGTATTTAAATTAAACTGTATACTAGTCTTATCTTTTAGTTAGAATGCGAATCTGTGGCCATACCAATTTTCCTAATTATATTAATCACTAATTAATTACCAATTCCACTGCAACAGAATATCTTTAACGCCATTTAATACAAATTCATTAGACCAACTGCTAAGTAAAACCATCTATCACACAATATGAATATTCAAACTTACAGTACCCGGCTACAACCGCAGCACAATTGTAGCATTTATCCTATCGTAATAGGAAATATATTGGCTCGGGTCCCGTTGAACTGACCGGACGATAAGATTTATACACAACTCTTTCGGTCGGCTATCATTTGTCCAAGTCCACAGTGACATCTGTCGTCGTAGTAACGTGTATATCTCGAGAGCACTCGTTATTTCATGCCCTACTACCGGAACTCGAACTTGTGCCCCATAATATCGTGTTTATCTCGAAACTCGCAAGTTTACTTAGAGATTACGTAACCGGACGTTATGGTAACACTTTCATCATTATTAAATACGCCGGAAAAATCGCAGCAACGAGTCGCTCCGACAAACGTTGTCGTTCGTGTTCCAACGGCAAGAGTAAACAAAGGATATAATAAAAGTATATAATACTAGCTGACCAGGCAAACGTAGTTTTGCCATATAAATTAATTGTATGGTAGAAAAAATATTTAAGGGTGGACCACCCTTAACATTTAGGGGGATGAAAAATAGATGTTGTCCGATTCTCTACCCTGGCCGATATGCACACAAAATCGGTTTACGAAAATCGGTCGACCCGTTTCGGAGAAGTTCAATTACAAACACCGTGACACGAGAATTTTATATATATTTTATTTTGTGAGTAAATCGACTATATTATATGTAATTTAAGTGCTTGATGAGAAACTTATTTCCGCGTGAAAATTTCGGCAAACGATTCGACCTCAAGACAACCGCGGTATTATCCAGCAGTAGACTTAAATAAGCTGAAACGATGATAATGGGTAAATTGATGGCCTGCCGGAACCGACCAATTAAAGTACAACAAATTCTCTTTTACAGCACAATGTAACGCATGTTACTTATCAATCATATGATGACAGTGGACATATTGACTTATAATATGTTGCCAGGAATCGTTCATGTGTTAGCTATCACTCCCGATTCGATATATAGATGATGAAATTCCTCAATAAATACTTTTTTTTAAAATAAAACTTAGTGTCTTAATCTTATTTTGTAAATTTAGTGATACAAAAATCACTTGATATACTCATTTAGATGGTTATTATACTTAAGTATTATACGATTAAGTAGTTTAAAGTTTCCCTGTTTACAATATTATAAGACGATTTTATTTATGGAGAGAGTATGCTGTCAAGCTATTATTACCGTTCATTTTTCTTTTTCATGTCATACAGGCCGTCGTGATTGCAGCAAAATGGTTATAAACAATTCGAACGCTCCATTTGAACAAATCGAAGGTCTTACAACACCTCGCTCTTATTAAATGGACGCTATTAATAATCGGACGCGGCAACATTATGTTACAGTATACAAACAATTGCCATCGCCGAGCGTACAAGCAACGCAACCGCCGCAAACGAAACGACACGCGAAACGAAAGTGATAACGCAACCAGTCGGACATTCGATAAATCTTGGTAGCGGACACTTGCATCGCTCGCAAAAGCGGTCTGGCCGACGACGCTTCATTTGAATGCAGGCCTTGTTAAAGACAAGTGAGGCCGCGTGTAGAGCGCTGTAGCTTAATTATTTAAGATTGCTCCCTGTCACGGACGTAATGCCCGACGCTTTTGATATAATAATTCCACGTCGGGACTTATACGCCCGCTTGGATTCGCGCGGTCGCCATTATTGCAGTTAATACGCGAACGAATTCAGGTTTATTCAATTATTTTTTCTACAATTCGTCATCGACAATTATTACGTTTAACTATTTTATCTTTATATATACAAAATATTCTTTAATAATTATTTATTAAACCACACTTTTTTATATACTTGATATAAGATGTAACGATAATTCTAAATTAGCGCAATATGCAATAAATGAGATGTCATCGAGGAATATGACATTGTTTAATTATTTATAGGTAATTTTGTAAGATATATAAAGCTTCGAAGAGACAATAAGACATAAGACCCCAAGAATAGAGAATAAACTAACAGAGGCTTGTCTTCAAAATCTCTTAGTCTTACATGTTTGTGGTAGGGCCACGCTGATCTGTGAAGGCCCCTAAGGCCAAAAGTGGCTCATCCAGGCAATAAAAAAAAAGGCCACGCAAGAGCTTGGGCTGTTGTACGAATGGCAGAATGTAGAATTAAGACGGCCTCTCAGAAGACTGTCGTGAAGTGATTGTGCTATTTTTCGCGTTTCATCTGGTGAGTGAGGTAAGCGGAGCCAACAATTTTTAATGTTGGCAACGCATCTGCAACCCTTCAGGTGTTGTACATCCATGGGTGGTTTACCAATCGCTTAACATCAGGTGAACCGCCCGCTCGTTTGCCAACTTTTAACATAAAAGAGCGCGTTTTCTTTGGGATTCTGAAGGCAACTATTCCCCAGTAGCAGGCTATGAATATGGGCATTCAACAGTCTCAAAATGGAAATAATAAAGGAAACCATCGTCAAAAAACGCACGAGTGGAGCGTATAATTCCACCATATAACGTCGATTCAGCGATTGGTCGGAGTTTCTGCTCCGTGGGTGGCTGGACGGCGCACGTGTTAGCCGCTCGGATACATTTGTGAGGCCACGTTAAAGGCAAATCCGCACTTCGCTTTATATTATCCGGTTCGACCGAGCTGTTATACAATCGCTGAGCCGCGCTTGGATTAGGACGCGGAGCTTTCGTGCTGCTTGCAAAGCATCGAAGAAAGTTTTTTCGAAACAACTTATTCGTTTGTTTCTTTTTTTTTCTAATGCAAAAAGGTCCGCGTGCTAAACCTTCTCCGTGTATAATTTTTAATTCGAAAGCTTAGAAAAGATCGCTTTATGAAAATTTTCTTTTATCTTTTTTTTAATGTCTATATATAACACAATAAAGATAAAAGAGCCGCATGGAAACTTTCATATTCCGCCGTAATATTTTGTCATCAATGTCAATATGCAAAAAAATTTTAAAGTAAACTTATTTCTTTTTTAATTTAAAAAAAGTCAAATGAAATATTATTACTATTAAAAATATTGTGGTTTCTTACTAAGCATAATCTGTGCTCAGATAGTAGTTAGTTTTAATGTAATCTAACTTTTATTTCTAGGAAAGTGAAACGACCTCCCACCATGCTAAGTGACGGCTATGGCTTCGAGTAATTCAAATAATTTACGATACTGGCCATAATACTGTTCCACTGAAGTCTCAGACTTTCAGATTATGGGACATTCCCTTTGATAACTGTCATTTAGCAAACTGAGACAGTTTCTTAAACCGCTGTTTTTCCGTTACTGTAATACATATTTAAATACGGTATGGTAAGAATGGAATCAGCGGTTTCATTTGATGCAGCCTTTTAACAAATCCATATCGATTATTCTAAATTTAAAATATATAGTCTTTTTTTATAATTTGGTTTTCTTTGCCAGTCTTCGTCAACCACAGTGTTCGATATTTGAATGGGGCGAAAATTGATTTAGAGTTTTTATTCAGTACTGCTCTTTGTATTTTTTTTTACAGCAAAACTTTCACGGTTTTCACGGTTTCGTTTCTAAATTGTAAATAGTAAAGTATCAGCCCATACGAGTCCCAGTAGTCCCGAGTGCTGGGCAAAGGCGTCCTTTGTACAGAGGGTATCAGGGCATAGTCCACCACGCGGCCCCTCTGCGGATTGGCGGACTTCACTTATCTTCGAAATATTTTTTTTTTATTATTATTTAGAAAATATGCAGGTTTCCTCACGTTGTTTTCCTTCACCGCTGAGCACTTGATAATTCGGCACTTAAAATTAACAATTCCATTGGTGTCGGCACCGGGTATCGAACTAGGGTTGCTCGAGTATATTGAATTAAAGGCGCGCGCCCGGACACTGAGATATCATGGCTACGTAATAAAATGTTCTGAATGTGTGTGTCCTACATTTCTACGTGATAAAGATTCTAAATATTCTAGTTAATTCATTTTGAAGCAATATTGTTTTATACATTTCTTAAGTATGCATGTATATAGTGGTGTCCAGAAATATTTATCTAAAGAGGCTGTACTGCTGTAGAATTATTATTTATTATTTTACGAAAAATAAATATTGTCTAATCCGCTATTTGAACGGTTCCCGAGTTATTAAAACCTATATTTTCGTATTTTTTTTTTAAGTTTATAACGAACGCACTCAATTTCGCAATTAAAAAAAGCTCATCACGCCCGGCCATTAGGCTGCGGCAGTACGGCTCGGCAGCATCATCAGGCTTATTAGCTCCAAGGCGTGATGCTAATAGATTGGCTTTCTTTCCCGGACGGGGCGCTGCGTAATTGATGGACGCTTCCGAAGATTGATAATCCGGTCCGGTGTCACTTTTATACGACGGCGGTGGGCCACGTTCGCGGAGAAAAGGCGATAAAACATTAGAGAGATGCGGTACACGGATGTACGACACTGGCGCGATTCACGCGCCGACGACTGTACATCACAAAATCGATAAAAGGCGCGGGACGTACGCCCGGTTTCCGAAACACTGATCATCGTAACTAATCAGCTGTCAAATGGTTTGCGATGATCAGTGTTTCGGAAACCGGGCGTTAATGTTTATTCGAATCAAATATAGCTATTGCGAGTGTGTTCCTGAATTATTAAACGACTAGATTGAGCTATGGAATAGGACCGCGTGAAGAGTTTTGAAGCTTATCAGATATAATTATAATGTATTCAAGTAGTACGTTGTTAAAATAAATAAATTAATTAATGTAAGTAAATGACAGTATCAAAACGCTACGAGCTAAGTCCCATCCGTCACCGTCTTTTACTGTGTTTTTCGAGTTTTTTGTTAATATTTAATCTTCGTTAAAAAATAAATACTATCATTATCATCAACCGTCAATCTATCATCATGGTTAAAGAGGTAAAGGATTTTATTAATTCAAAACGAACTCTACGAGTTTCCGCATTCTCAAACATTACCTCACGGCATTTTAGGATATCCCCGTAAACTAGTTCGATTGATATTTACGAAATTTCTGTCATAAAACCAACCCACGCCATTCCGAATGGACGTGACCATGCTAATATGTAAGGGATTA